TCTGTTCTGATTAGGCTAAAAATGCGTTACGTAATGAAACCAGTGCGGTAATGAACTTCATTACGTAACTCAAATCACCTCAAATGAGTGCGGTAATGATGACTTATCCAAGCAGTCGTAGATAATAGTTATTTATATTACAAGTGGGCTAGAAACATAATTACTGTACGAGTGTGGAGAATTGCACGACGAGGTCGTAGACCGAGTCGTGTAATCACACGAGTACTGTAATTATACTCTAGCCCACGTGTGATATACAATATTTTATCTACGACTTGTAAAAATTACTTAAAAATCAATTTCTTTAAAAAGGTCTATTTTGACATTTTTAAAAATATTTTGAAATGATTGTTGACAATTTTGAATTAATATCAGTTTCAATAACATGTTTACTCATCTGGAATAAGTGTTTAGAAATGTAAAAACAACAATTAATGTTTATAATAAATAGTATTGTTTCTCTTTAAATAGGTATCACTTTTCCTTTTGTATTGTCGCTCGTTTCAATAAATTAAATCTGTTCTGATTGGGCTAAAAATGCGTTACGTAATGAAACCAGTGCGGTAATGAACTTCATTACGTAATTCAAATCACCTTAAATGAGTGTGATAATGATGATTTATCCAAGTAGTAGTAGATAATAGTTATTTATATTACAAGGGGGTTAGAAACATAATTACTGTACAAGTGCGGAGAATTGCACGAGGTCGTGTAATCACACGAGTACTATAATTATACTCTAGCCCACGTGTGATATAAAACATTTTATCTACAACTATTGAATTATCTATTCGTTATACATTTGATTTTTGACGGGTAATGACACGTATTACTCATGACTGACAAAGTGTTGAATAATGAAGCCATTATTCTACAGTTCTGAAACGGCCTACTAATCAAAAAATAAAATATTTACAGAAATGACAGTTTTCTTATATTGAGGTTGTGTCTGAAATGTCTATCAAGTTTATTTTTATTCCTTTTTGATTTTTTTTCAAAATTAAATAGTTGTAGATAAAGTATAGTATTCAACAGCCCCCCTTATACGCTTGTTGAATAATATACTATTATCTACGACTGCTAAAAATTACTGAAAAATCAATTATTTTAAAAAGATCTATTTTGACATTTATAAAAATATTTTGAAATGATTGTTGACAATTTTGAATGTTTGTCAGTTTCAATAACATGTTTACTTATCTGGAATAAGTGTTTAGAAATGTAAAAACATAACAATTAATGTTTATAATAAATAGTATTGTTTCTCTTTAACTATTTAAAGTAGCACTTTTCCTTTTGTATTGTCGCTGGTTTCAATAAATTAAATGTTCTGATTGGGCTAAAAATGCGTTACGTAATGAAACTAACACGGTAATGAACTTCATTACGTAACTCAAATCACCTCAAATGAGTGTGATAATGATGACTTATCCAAGCAGTGGTAGATAACATTTATTTATTAATGACGAACGCTGACCAAATTAAAATGTATGCGGATTATCCGCAGTTGCTGATGCGGATATCCATTACATCACTAGTGTATTCCTCTCTTCATTCCCAAACTAATTACAAAAAAACTCTTGATATGGTAGGTACAAATATTTATTATTTTTATTAAATTGTTACACTTGATAATTAGAATATCTAAAACTATACAGTCATTCAATAACAACACAATATGCACAACTTAATTACTACAAGCTAAGATTTAAAAAAAAAAGTAAATATATATTCATGCGCGTCGCTAATTTATACAGTAGGACCCTTTTTTTTGTAAATTTCGTTTTTAAAAGCAGAATTAAAAGATTTGATGAATTTTAGTGGAATTTTGAAACTTTAGTAAATTCGATAATTAGAGTCCTACTGTACATATATCATTTAATGTTTTTTAAAAATTTGATTTAAATAATTTAATTTTTATAATAACGAAGGTGGTTAGATATGCGTAAATGCAATTAAGAATATTTTGTGTGTAATAGTAAAATGTAAATAGGCACGACTCTCGCATTCTCTGTATCCGTACAGTAATTTTTCTTTTTGTGTAAATATTTACATATTCTTATATACCTTATCCGTACAAAAATTATTATTATTATTAGATATTTTTAGGTTTTTATGTTTCTTTTTTAGTCAGACTGTGATCTTGTTTCCTCGCGCATTATTTAAAAAAAACGTTCCAATTTAATTATATCTTTTTCATTCTCATCGCCGCGTTTTTTTAGGAGCACCATTTCTATATTATATTCGTATATATAAGTTATAATCTTTTTTTTTTCAACTTTTTTAGTTTCCGGCTTCCGTGATGATGATGAGCACAAAACAATACTAATTAATTATTATTAATTAAACCGAACCAATAAAAATCACTTTCTCGAACTGGTTTTTTTGAGCTTAACCTTTTTCCTTTGTTATGTTGGTATTTTAAGTTTTTTTCTAAATATAACTGAACAGAACAAAAAAACTGGAAGTACACAGACTTATCTAAAGAGTGTTCAAAAAATACTTGCGTAAAAAAAGTCTAGAAAAAAATAATAATAATCAGAAGCAAATCCTTATTACGTTTTTTTTTCTTTTCGAAATGAAACCTTAGAGGAAGACACACTTCCTGCGTCTTGCTGGTTCTGGGGGTTCCAACGCTGCTAGGATCGCTTCATCGAATACATTTTTAAGACCTTTTTGCGTTAAGGCAGAACACTCGACGTATTTAACCGCTTTTAGCTCTTTCGCTAATTTTTCACCTTGTTCTACTGATATTGGTTTTTGCTTGTTCTTTGCTAATTTTTCAATTGTTGTAACATCGTCTCTAAGATCCACTTGTGTTCCAACTAATAGGAAAGGTGTTTTTTGACAGTGATGCGTTATTTCCGGTACCCACTTAAAAATAAAAAGTTTACAACATTAGTATCATTATATCAAAATACCAACATTTTTTATTAACAGAATTTTTACTCATAACTCTTTACCGCAAGAAACGCAAATGACTCATCGATTACCAATATTAAGTATAGATATTATTCCTATAAGTTGATGTCTGTTATACACGACAAAATACTTGCTTTCTTAATGTCGGTAACCGACGATACTTTTATATCGACCAAAACAAAACTAACCTCTAAAACGTGTACAAAGAGTGATTAAATAAATCAAAATGCCGTAAATACTGTTCATAATAAACACATCTAAGATGCTATGTCTTCACCACATTCCAAATTATTATAAGACATGGAAAACTGGACCTTGAAAGAAGCCACAACAAAAAAACTAGAAACCATTGAGATGTGGCTGTATAAAGAAATGCTCAAAATACCATGGACAGCTGACATGACGACAAGAAAGTGCTATAAAGAAGAAACCGGAAACCATGAATACCTTCAAACGCAAAAAAACTCAACACCAATATTCCCTGCTCCAATCCATAATGTAAGGGAAAGCCAAAGGAAAAAGGGGACTCTACAGAAGATTCCAGTGGTTGCGGAACCTTAGAACTTAGTTTGGAAAAACCTCAGCAGAATTGTTTCGACCTGCTGTCAACAAAATCATAATTGCCAACATTCAAGTCGGATAGCAACCTCAAAAAGAACAATTTATTTGATTAATTTGGAGCAATTCATGAACTTTTATCAATTCATGTCTATTTATATGTTTGTGTTAGAATTAAATTGTAATATAAATTTAAATTGTAATAAAATGGTGGAGACTAGAACTCGACAGCAAACGTGTGCAAAAACTTATTATTAAGAAATTGCCCGGGAGCCTAACTTAGCGATGTTGTAACTTTGTTCGTCCTTGTTGTATGAATTTTGCTCGCATGTTCGCCAAAGACTGCCGTGACTCCCACTATGGTCAAGCGTATCTCGGACAAAGTCCGCCAGAATTCCAAAAGAAGTCCCAGAAAAACGGTTAATGAGCTGAATATTAGCCGTGAATCTGTTCACTGGATCGTCAAACATCGTTTGGGGCATTGTCGCCGAAAAGTTGTTCATAGACACTGCTGATTTTTGCGGATCAGGGTGTCAAGATATTTATACGGCGTAACATCGCTTATTGGGTACTATTCCGGTAAAGTTATCGATGTAGCTGTAAAAAGCAGTTAGTCAATCCTGTGCATCTTATAAACATAAAGGAAATATAGAAGAATATATTGACTGGTATGAAGAACACAAAGAAAATTGCATGAAAACTCACGAAGGGTCCGCCGGTGAAATGGAAGTCGATGCAATTGTAGAGATGTTTTTGAGATCCGAAGAAAAGTTTGGTGTAAAATACGGCAACTATATAGGGGACGGAGATTCCAAAACGTTCAAAGCAATTTTAGAACAAAATCCATATGGCGACGATTTTCCAGTAATTAAAAATTAATGTATTGGACATGTTGAAAAGACGATGGGCTCCCGACTATGAAACATAAAAAAACATACAAACTTGGCGGAAAAGAAAAATTGACAGATGCTCTAATCAGAAAACTTGCGACATACTACGGTCTTGCTATCCGTAGAAATATCAACAGTGCAGAAGACATGAAAAAAACGATAATGGCTACTTATTACCACATGTGCTCTACAGATGAACATCCAAATCACCAATACTGTCCGTCAGGATCCGAGAGCTGGCACGAGTGGCAAAAAGCTAAATCAAATGGGTCGGATTCCTTGATGAAGCATCCAGCGCCATTGTATCCAGATGTTCAGAACCCTTCAAGGATTGCAACTAAGTGATGAAGGATGGCATGTAACGTTTTGTTGGTGGATTGCCAAAGCATCAGCCAACAATCGAGATTTTTTAAATAATGTAATGTGGAACGATGAATCGTGTTTCACAAGATTGTAAACATTCACAATTTACATGTTTTAGTATCTCTACGCAATTCGGCCACGAAACTTCCAACATGAATTTACTGTCAACATCTGGGTAGGTGTTTATAATAATCATCTTTTCGGGCCATACTTTTTGAAACCACAATTAACCGCTGTGGCGGTCTTGTAATTTTTAGTAGCTGAACATGCCAATATGTGGAACGACATTGGTTTAGCTTTAAAAAGAAAGGCCTGGTTTCTACTTGATGAGCTTATCATGGTAGGGTGGTAAGAAATTAGCTAGATAACCATTTTCCTGCAAAATAGATTCGTCGTGGTGGACCAATCGCAGGGCCCCACGATCTGCAGATCTTAATGCTTTAGACTTTTTTGTGTGGAGATATTTGAAAATTGTATGAGACACCTGTTCCCACAAGGGATGAACTTTTAATAGGATTAGGAATGCTTGTAATGACATAAGGCCGTTCTTAAATACCATTACTCGATCAGTAATTCGTCGGTCAGAATTATGCAAGCAAAATTTTTACATTTTCAACAATTTCTTTAATTTTTATCTTTTATTTAGATTAAAAAATATTAATAAACTAAAACATTAGTTATTTTACCTACTTTGTTTCCATGTCACACATTATTTTACTATCTTTAACTATCCTCTAAAACCATTGGTCTGTATCGAATAATAAAAAGCGGATTATTTTGAAAACGATAAATTTTAGTGCATTTTGATAAGAGTACCCTTTTTGCTTAAAAAGTACAGAGAATAAGAAGTTTTATTCAAAAAGCCAAAAATTATACTGTCAGAAAAGTTATTATTATTTTAATGCGTAAAGAATACGTTACAGAGCGCTGTTAAAACGGACTCCATAATCGTCTTTCTTATGCCAGAAAACCTCCGTATACCAAATTTGAAAAGAATCGGTTGAAATACACGTGTAATATTAAATAAAAATCAATTTAGAAATCTAATTTGAAAACCCTGTATCTTCAAAACAAAGCGTTTGTAGACCTATGTTTATATGAAATTTTTGTGTTAATTTTAAGAGATCTATCGACTGTTAAAGTCCTGCTACAAAAACCTGAAACACCCTGCATATCAATATTTTCTTAAAAAGTTTTAACATTATATTAAAACACCTGTATTTTTTAAATGCTTAACTTTTTTTAACTTTTTTTTGGTTCACATAGAAGATATGAATGTTGGGAACAATTTAAATGCATTTGCAAGTAATTCTAACCACTCTAGCGAATGCTAGAATGTTTGAAACGGAACCGCTCACTCCGTAACGTTCCCCTATCTGATCATTATTTCGCTTATAAAAGTTTTAGAATATGCAAATACATATTTTTATAGTACAAAGCATCACTAAATAGTAATGGGTATCAAAAAGGTTTGAAACTAATTCAACTTCACGAAAAAAAAACTTGAAAATGCGCTTATTTTAGCGCGTCTAAATGTACTTCCCCCCTTAAGTGAGAAGTCATTCGCATTTCTCTTAGTAAGGACTATATCATTGCTAAGTCAATTAATAATTTTTATCAAATATACTCCAATAGAACAATACCTTCTTATCTACAATAAGATTTTAGCAACGTTATCAACTCAAAAACCTTTATNTAAAATACGCGCGAAACACTTCAAACTCTTTAAAATTTACGATTCGCGCAAGCGCCTTCGCGACATGGGGGCACGACAAAGACAAAACATGTATCATTCCGTCTGCTTTTGATGGAAACGCTCGCCACTCATTGCTTAGATAGGGAGTCAGCGATATAGGAGATAGTATATATATATGCTTTAATGCGTAAAGAATCCGATACAGAGCGCCCTCTACTGGCTATAGTAAAACGGACTCCATAATCGTCTTTCTCATGCCAGAAAATCTCCGTATACCAAATTTGAAAAGAATCGGTTGAAATGCACATATAATATTAAATAAAAATTAATTAAAAAATTTAAATTAAACACCCTGTATCTTTACAACAAAGCGTTTGTCGACCTATGTTTATATGAAGTTTTTTTGTGCTAATTTTAAGAGATCTATCGACTGTTAACCCTTTCGTTACTAAGAGCGTACGGATACGTTTTTGTATATATGGGCTTGCTAAATGATCTTGAAAATACTCTGTAACGAAAGGGTTAAAGTCCTGCTACAAAAACCTGAAACACCCTGTATATCAATATTTTCTTAAAAAGTTTTAACATTATATTAAAACACCTGTATTTTTTAAATGCTTAATTTTTTTTAACTTTTTTTTGGTTCCCATAGAAGATATGAATGTTGGGAACAATTTAAATGCATTCGCAAGTAATTCTAACCACTTTAGCGAATGCTAGAATGTTTGAAACGCAACCGCTCACTCCGTAACGTTCCCCTATCTGATCATTATTTCGCCTATAAAAGTTTTAGAATATGCGAATACATATTTTTATAGTACAAAGCATCACTAAATAGTAATGGGTATCAAAAAGGTTTGAAACTAATTCAAGTTCACGAAAAAAAAACTTGAAAATGCGCTTATTTTAGCGCGTCTAAATGTATTTCCCCCCTTAAGTGAGAAGTCATTCGCATTTCTCTTAGTAAGGACTATATCATTGCTAAGTCAATTAATAATTTTTATCAAATATACTCCAATAGAACAATACCTTCTTATCTACAATAAGATTTTAGCAACGTTATCAACTCAAAAACCTTTATAACAAATACTCATAAACTGGTTGTATTCAAATAAAGTCATTGATTAAAACATAATAATTTAATTAGTGTTTTCTTACGCGATTCTAACAGTAAATTATTCCCAGATTACTTTCACCATTGGTCACATCGTGTATCTACTGCAACTACATATTTATAACTTACACCTCGAACTGTAATACAATACCAATACACATTTTTTTCCCTCTTACCGTTTGTGCCACACCCAACATTGCATAATACACATTAATATTCAACAAACACACACTTTTAATGGTACCTTTTCTTATCAGAATTTAATCTCTCTTTAACTTTAAAAAAAAATAAGCAGTCCTTTTAGTTCTTTTATATAATTTGGGCGCCAATTCAATTTTAACTTACTTTTTCTTTGACGTTTTCATACGATGAGGGACTTACAACAGAAAAACACACCAAAAAAACATCAGTTTGGGGGTAACTTAACGGCCGTAACCTATCATAATCTTCTTGACCTAAAAAATCAATATAAAATCAATAAAATTATTTTAATTTAATTCAAAACAGTACCTGCTGTATCAAATAAACCTAATGTGTAGGGTTCTCCACCAATCATAACAGTAACTGCATAATTATCGAACACAGTTGGTACATATTCGGAAGGAAATTTATTTGTTGTATAACTGTAAATGGATTTTATTACAAAAATGTATTAATTTTATTCAAAATTCTTAGTTAAAAATAAAGTTAATCATCAAATCGCCATATAGGATGATAAAATCTAACCAAATAAAGAACAATAAAGTCTAAAAAAATATTTTAAAACAACAATGATTCATTTAAACAAACGCTTTGAATATCTTGATGATAATGAGGTGATATTGAATGGTAGAGGGACAAAAAAAATGATTGCATGATGTATTTAGGATGTATAACTTACCTTATTAAAAGGCAGGTTTTACCAACGGCTCCGTCACCGACGACGACACATTTAATCGTCTGCATGATGGGGTTTTTGATGATGTTTCTATTAAAAATAATCAAAAAGAAATAAACGTTTCAGTATTCGAGGAAACGTCAAAGTAAACCGGGTTGCATTAACCAACGAAAAGTAATAGGAAAAAACCGCAAAAATTATAGAGACTAATTCACGTTAAAGGGGAACTTAACGTGGAACATAACATCCACCGTAAATTGCTAACAGAATTCAGCACGTCTCGGAAATTATCAAAAAAGAAGCCATTTTTAGAGCTGTGATTCGAGCGTCACTGACACTACATTACTATTAGACCCGGAAATTGTTATAGAGCGATTTTTAAACGGTTTTATAAGCGTAATTAATAAAAATGAACGTTCGGATATTTATAATCGATTTGTGTTGTATTAAAACTGATAAAAACAACGGGATTTTAATAAAAAATTAACTTACATCGGGCTGCGTATACGTATACACAAACCACACCACTTCTACACCTGTCCGAGCGACCTCTGTTGGTAGATTTGTAAAATTACGGCCACTACCTATAACAACCTTGAAAAATAAAAATTACTAGATTAAAAAAATTTATTTTTAATTAAATACGCTTAATTATGTTTTCTAATTATTATTATATTTAGAAACATTTTTCTTGTTCAAAGATAATTAATTAATAAAATTCCTTTAATACTAACACCACTTTTTTCCGCTTTTAATTATTTTGACTAATCATCATTACAAATTAAACAAATACTGTTATTTAATATATTCATCCCACTCCATCGCACGCAATATTAAATGTCTATCCTTTATTAACGTCAAAAATGACATTTATAAAAATGGATTATCTACATATATTTTAATTTAAATATAAATCATTATAATTTTTATTCAACTGAACATTAAGATCTTGTTTATAACAATTATTCACATTAAAATCAATTCAACTATATTCCTAAGTAAATGAATGAAATAAACATTACTCTCCACATTTCAGATACGAACTAAACATACAGTGGTCCACAAAAGTTTTTAAACACTAAAAATTTTGAATTTTGCTTTTATATAACTTTAATTATAGTGAAATTGCGAAAATTGCAATGAAACCTATATAAAACCTTAAGCAATAGAGACAATCGGGTTCTATTAAATATTGTAAAGAAAAACACGCATCAAGTTTGGCTACTGAAATTGCATGCTTCAGGATGTATGGATATACATCCTGAAAATGTTAAAAAATTATTAAGATTGATGGTATCTCTCCATGCAAGAACGCCAAGGCGTAAACCGTAAATCTCTAAGGTTAATGCTGAGAAACGAATTTTGCCATAAAATACAGTAGTCTGGCATATTCTTGGCATATTATACCAGAACAACTTAAAAATAAAAGGCGTTAACTTTAGTATAATGCTGGAAATACACAACATTGCTGATTGTATAGAAAATATTGAACAATCGCGGGTGAATTGAAAAAATCTACATGGAATGGTTGCTGAAAGAAAATCTGGCCAAGTGTTGAAGTATGATGAAAATTTGCGGAATGACCCAGAGATGGTTTTAATGATATTCATGATACTCATGATATTGAAGAGCTACGATTCTAAACTAACAGAAGAAGAGCCGGCAGATTTATTATTTATGAATGCAGTGACAGTGATGAAAATAACGAAAACGCTTTTCCAGCTATGTTAACTCTCACAACAGATATGTTGACAGAAAAGGATCTTATAACAAAACGAAGTTTAAAGGAACATCATGAGATCTATAATGCCTTAACACCTTAGAATCTTTTGTAACAGAAACTCCAAAATAAAACAAAAAGCGCAAAAATTACAGACTTTTTATACTAGAATACAATGCAGCTGAGAACTAAATATAATAACAACCTTTTTTACCTTATAAACTACTGTATAAAGATAAATCATTTTTGAAAACAAGTCATCTTTAGTAATGATAGAGAATAAAAGTTTGGAGAAAACCTAACGAAGAGGTAAAACAGGAAAATAATGTAAGTAGTGTAAAACATGGTGGTAAGGTAGGCGAGTCTTGTTTTCAAGTCCAAAATGAACAAATTAAAAATTCAGGCGATCTAAATATATCAAAAAACCCTGCAAAAGTAGTAAGAACTGAAAAACGGAAACTCCACCATTAGTAAATATCGCCATTTGATATACCTACAAAACTCAACTTAAAAGATCTGTGCAAGCTAGGAAATTAAATGTAAAGCAGGTCTACGAAGTTACCGTAAATGATAGAAAGTATCAGAATTGCAACGATTCTTCATTACATGCCAAAGAAACATAGGTTTATTATTATAGGTCATATTTTAGAAGAACCTTATGACTAGTGATGTAACGAATAGTGATTTTGCGAAAAGTCGGATACCGGATATTCGGCATCCTCTTCGGCCGGATATCCCACATATGTACCCGGCCATTATGGTTATAACTTGTGGTACATTTCTGAAGTGATACCCTACATTGCAACATTATTGCCACACGAAGCAACTCTAAAAAGAGGATACTTTAATTAATAATTGGTAATATTTCCACAAGGATCCTTCAAGAAATTAATTTTATAGTGAATTTTGAAAATTATCGATGAAAATTGCAACATCGAAAATTTTATCAAAACTTCAAATATTGTTTTCTCAAAAACTAAAAGTTATTTCATTGGAAAGAGGACACTCTTATTAACACTTTGGGAAATTTTCATACTCATATTTCAAGAAATGGANTTTAATTATTTTGACTAATCATCATTACAAATTAAACAAATACTGTTATTTAATATATTCATCCCACTCCATCGCACGCAATATTAAATGTCTATCCTTCATTAACGCCAAGAATGACATTAATAAAAATGGATTATCTAGATATATTTTAATTTAAATATAAATTATTATATTTTTTATTCAACCGAATCTTGTTGATAACAATTATTCACATTAAAATTAATTCAACTATATTCCCAAGTATATGAATAAAATAACATAATAAAATAAACATACAGTGGTTCACAAAAGTTTTTAAACAAAAAAATTTGAGTTGTGCTTTTATACAGGATGTTTCATAATATATGGATTATACTTTAGGATGTGATAGCTTGTCCAAAAATTTGAAAGAAAGTTTGTATCAACTTACCCTCTAAAATGCACCATTTTCGAGATACAGGGTGTTGAAATTTAATAAAAAAAATCGTTTTTCGCGAATATCTCCAGAACCGTTTATCGTACAGAAAACAGCGCTTATAAACATTTTCTACTCATAATAAACTAAGTTTTGTGCGTAAAAGAAATTTTTTAAAGTCATGATTGGTGAAGATTTTGATGGGGTAGTGGTTGTTTTTCTGCATTATAAATTAAAAATGAATTAGACAAACGCTGAAATGTGCGAAATGCATTACCTTTACGGAATGACGTGCGGTAATTCGGCATAAACAAGGCGGTTGTATCAAGAAAGACATCCTGATCGCCCAGTACCACACCATAACTTGTTTCTACGCATTCACCAACGACTAGGGGAAAATGGAAGTTTTAAAAAGAGTACTGCTGATAATGGGCGGCCTATGGAAGTTGCAAATCCCCAAGTAGAAGACTCTGTCCTCAACGAAATTGATCCGACCGCAAGTACCAGAAAAATTGCTCAAAACTTAAACCTATCTCATTCGACGGGTTGGAGAATTTTAAAATGGCAATTTTTGTATCCCTACTATATCCAAAGAGTACAAGCCTTATTGCCAAGATTGGCTTTTTGTACATGAATGCAAGACAAAATAGCTCAAAATCCTGAGTTTGGAGCCGAAGTTCTGTTTAATGATGAAGCATCTTTCTCGAAGGAAAGTATTTTCAATTTCCACAATAACCACATAGGGGCAGAAGAAAATCCACATGAAATTGCAGAAGGCCATCATCAGCAACAATTTTCCCTAAATGTTTGGGCTGGCATCGTTGGTGATCATTTGATAGGCCCACATTTTTTACCGAACAGATTAAACGGTGCAGATTATCGACAATTTCTAGAAGAAGTACTGCCAAAACTGCTGGAAGATGTACCGCTTCAAGTAAGACAAAAGCATGTACTTTATGCATGATGAAGAACTTAGGTTGGTTGCTCGCCAATACTTGGACGACAAATACCCAGACTTAATTGTTTAAATTTTTTCTTTTGGGGCCATGTGAAAACCCTAGTCTACGCTACGCCAGTTGAAAATGTTGACCAATTAAGAGAGCGCATTGTTGTATCTTGCGACATAATTCGGAACACTCCAGGAATTTTCCTGCGTGTTAGACAATCAATGCGTCGAAGAATTGCTGCGTGCATTGAAGCTAACGGCTGACATTTCCAACATTTAATTTAACTGTGTATGATATGTAAATATTTTTTTTAATGATGCTATTATGAAGTTAACGTTTGCTTTTGTTACTTGTTCTAACGTTTTAGTAAAATAAAATTTTTATTTCAAAAACTTTACCATGTTATTCAACATAAAAGTTGATTTTTCTCGCAAACGGTCAACTTTAGAGCTCATGACCATCAATACCTTTTTTGTATAGAAAACATTGGCGGTTCAAATGGGCGTCTCAAAACCGTACTTTTTCCAGTGGCGTAGAAGTTGGGGAGAAAAACAACCACTACCCCTTCAAAATCTTCACCAATTATGACTTTCAAAAATTTTTTCTCGCACAAAACGTAGCTTATTATGAGTAGAAAATGCTTACAAAAGCTGCTTTCTGTACGATAAACGATTTCGGAGATGCTTTCCTCTCAATCTCCAATTTACCTGTTCACTGCATTTCAGTTCATGGCATTTCGCGGTCTTCCTACTAGCACACAGTCTGATACAGTTATCTGAGACTGATTTTTGATGTCATCTGCTTCTTCTCTTTTCCCTCTTCAGCTGACAGCTTTATTTGCTCTTTTCCAATTATTTTTCGCTTGATCCGATTTCTTTCTTTCTTGTTCTCTCCTATTCTTTTTCTGTTACTTGACATGTGGACTTGTTTTTTTTGTTCTTGTTTTTTCCTATAGTTACCATATAACTATTTATCTCAATTCCATACATACATTGCCGGTTGGGTCTTTTTGAAAACATCGCCTCTGGCGATAAATTGACCGTTTGTCAACCTTGTGTTAATTTTATAGAATAATGTATATATTTTTTCTGTCATTATTGTAAATGTTGGTGGCAATAAACTTATTACTATTAGAAATTTTACATGTGATGTCGCGACGTAAGAACTATTCATATATTATACAACAAGACAATTCTAAAAATATGTATATTTTTTATTCATGAAATAGTCTAGCCATATACAACACGACAATCGAAAATACTCGATAATACGAGACGTATTGTCTAAAACACCACGAGACCGAAGGTCAAGTGGTGTTTTTTAAGGCAATAGTATTTCTAGTATTTCTTTCTTGATAGTATTTCTTCATTTAATTCTCCCATGTCAGTTATTTGTAAATTTGGCTCCATTGGTATTCTATTTCCTTTACTACTATTTTATTTTTTATTAAATTCTTTTTGGT